ATCCACATAGCACTTTGTTTCAGTTATTGTTCTTTGTGCTTACTCCCATTAAGTTGCTACTGTTTCCGCTAATTTGAGCGTCATTCATGGATCTTTATCGGTATTTGAGAATAGTTTGTCATTTCTCGCCTTCCAGATGTACCATACTATCCATGGGTAGGATTCCTTTGAAATCTCTTTTGGTATTCGCCAAAACAAGTGATCAAAATTTGAGTAAATCGAACTACCTGGGAACACCGGGGGGGGGGGTGTGGGGGTGTTGGAATTTTTGAGAAGTCTCATGTCTGCACTGCTGGAAGACATTCAAATAAAACATGATTAATTGTTTTCTAATCTGCCCCGCATCTGCTGCATTGAGCATCACATTGATTCCTCTGTTGTTTAGATTTTTTGCAACTGCCAAACAGCCTGTCACTGATTGCCATAGAAAATTTTGTAATTTAGGAGGGCATCCCAATTCTGATATGTTTGCCAATAAGGGTCCGAGATCAGGTCCATAGAGGTTTTTTGTTTTTTCCTCTGAGTCTTGATGCTCAATTTGATATCCAGATTTGACCGTGTATCGACCTGATTTTGTGAAATGTCAGCCCATTACATCCGACCTAAATGTAGTGCTTATTGACATCCCTTGTATTATTTTCGCATCCTTTGGATCTATTATGGCATTGATTAGCCCCATATTCCAAGTACTAGTCCACGGATCAATTAGGTGATTTACCATGAGATTTTGGTAGTAATTATAACCCTTACATAATGCTGATCTTGGGCGAGAAGATGGTATCCAAGGATCGTTCCATATCGAAATGGAGCATCCAGATCCAAATCTTTCGATTAGCCCTTTGTTAACCAGAAATTGAGCTGAGATGATACTTCGCCATCCGGAATAGGACCTTATGTTATCCATCGGGTCTGCATTCCGGTAATATCTCCCTTTAAAAACTCTCGCAAATAAGGAGTCTGGCTTTTCTATTAATCGCCATAATTTTTTTTGCCAATAATGCCATATTAAAATCCTCAATCGACCTAAATCCCATGCCCCCATCAGCTTTGTGACGACACATCATTTTCCATGCTATCCAATGCATCCCTTTTCCTTGGTCATTCGTGTTCCACAGAATCTGACAGTGATACTTGTAAACTTTGTAATGATAGATTTCGGTAGTCGAAAACATGACATCACAAATGTTGGCATAGCTGATGCATATGATGATATAGAGTAAGATATAAAGTACCAATGCAGATGATTTTACTCTAAAATTAGAGTTTAAAGGCAAAAGTAGAGTACCATTGCAGATGCTCTTAGGATTTTGAAATTTTGAGAAAGCTCTTCTGCTGTAGATAATAGTTCCTGATGAGTGAGCACATGGTCATGATTGAATTAACAATCCACCGTATAAAGAAATAAAATCTAATGTACCAAGTTTAATGATAAATTCTTGGGTGAACCATTTTATTCATCTCTATTATTTTAAATAATAAAAATGTGACCTCCAATATTATATTTGGTTTAACTACATTTTTATGGAGTTTTATTGATTTAAATAAAAATCTCCACTTTCCCTCATTACTGTTTCGTATGAGTCAATAACGCCATTTTGTTTCGTGCTTTTGCTTTATTGTAATTTCTATATTTAATCAATAAAACCTCATAGAGATGTAATTTTATCAAGCGAAAAAACTTTTTAAATACCTTAACTATATAACATTTACTATTAAATATACAAACTTTTTGGGTTTTAAAATTACTGAATACCTCTTTAATACGCAAACTATTATTCACTCTCTCTATAATACCCAAACTCTTAAATATAATAGACTTTATGCCAAAATACCTAATTTAACCTTATTTATAGAAAATCAATTTATTTTATCAAATAAACAAAATTATAATATTTATAAAATAAAATAAATTAAAACTATTAAAAATATATATTTTTGTCAAAGTACAACTTCTGAGTTTTCTTCGTCAACTTTTCTTATGAATTGTCTGTGTATGCCTTAGGCCATCTCCAACCATAGCACCAAATTTGGTGTCATGAATAGTGTAAAATTTGGTGTAAAAGTGAATAGTATTTTTTTTCATCTCCAACCACAACACCAAATCTCACACTAAAAACAATCTTTTATATTATTATATTATCAAATTTAAAATTCTCTTTATTTTTCATATTTTGATGAGTACTTATTATTATATTATTAAATTTAAAATTCTCTTTATTATACCCCGTACTATCATTATTTTAGCGGAAATGGTAATCCAGACTATTAGAATATTGTTTAAGGTTATATTATGTCTTTAAAATTATTTTGTTGTATTTAGTTTTTTTATAATGTTTTTTGTTTTAATTTAATAATTTTATGTTTAAATGTTTAATTAAATTTTATTATGAATTTTTAATCTTAATTTATTTATATATTAATAACAAAATTTTGTGCAATTCTAAATTACAAGAATGGATTCTACATTCTTAAAACCAATATAATTTAATTAATTAATAAATAGTAATATAATTATTTGAGTAAATGAAAAAAAAAATATTTTAATGTTTGGTGTTGTGAATAGTGTTGCACCAAATTTGGTGCAACATTTGGTGCATCATTGGAGAAGAATCAACACCAAATTCGATGTTTTGGTGCATGGTTGGAGATGGCCTTAAGAAACTCATAGCTCTAAAAAAATTGATAAAATCCAACGCTTAATTGCTTGGCAGCGGCGTTCCAATGCTAGATTCATAGTTATAGAACGGGTCATGATTGGGATTTGAAGCTTTGATGGACATTTAAAGAAATCGAAGCCCGAACATGTGTTTCCATCTTCCTCAAATCTGAGTCAAATTAGGGAAACGTTGAGTCTATGAAATTGAGAAAAAAGTTGAGTCGAGGAAAATTATTCTTGCAAAAACATAACTGGATTTTTTCGACTTCATATTCAACATCGGACGGAGACTTGATAGCTTGATCGGAGAATCTATAAAAAGCTAGACCGACGGTGATTAGAGAGAGAAGATATACAACACATTGGCTAAGACCTAGCTACGTCAGAGCATCTACTCCAGTGAGTTGCAGCGGTCACATCATAGAGAGACGACCAGTAAACCATGGACCTTCGAGGAGTAGCATCACATAACGGTTGTAAGAGAAGTTATATGTTTCCAAAAAAACTCGGATTGGACATATATAATCATTTTGGTGATGGTAACATGATTTGATGGAGAAGAGGATGGAACAACTAGATTAACGATTGAGTTCTCAAAGAAGACGAAAATCTGATTTTTTAAAATATTTATTTGTCTTGTATATGTTTTTAATTTATTTTCCTTGATAAATATTATATTTTGTTTTCTCATAAGAATAAATCGATTTTACAAAATAAAGAAGGGTAAAATTGGTATTTTAGCATTAAATCTACAATATTTAAGAGTTTGGGTAATAGAGAGAGAGAGTGAATAATAGTTCGTATTAAATAGGTACAAAAACAATTTCAGGTATTTTTGGAGAATAGGAAAAGTTTGTGTTTTTCTTTTTAGCAAATGTTATATAGTTGAGATATTTTAAAGGTTTTTCCCCTTTTAACTACTTAAAAAATATGCTGAAAAAAGGAAAAAAGTACACAAAATATTGAATTTAGTTAGTTTTTTGAGAAAATTATTTTAACTTTAAAGAGAGACTAAAATTAGCATTTGTTGCAAACATTACCATACTCAAGCATTTCCTGCTCTTTTAATGCATTTCTCTCACAATTCACTTTTATACGAGCTGAGATGCTATGACTTGCATCCACACACTTGTGTTTTCACTTGACTTCACAACTTGAGCATCAAAAAATTCCAGAACATCACTTCTACATTTTTTACAGTCTCTATAACTGAAAAAAAAATTCATTTCTGTTTTTCTTAAAAAAAAAAATACATTTCTGTTTTTCTTTATCCTCCATAGAATCCAAGGAAAGCTTTTCTTAAGCTGAACATGCCACTTCAAGTTAGAAAAATATATATTTAATTAGGTGTATAGGATAATGAAGATTTAATCAAGTAAATAAGAAATGTTAAAATCACTAGTAAAAAATGGGTGAAAATTAAATTTTATTATATGTAAATGCTAACAAAAGCTCACTAATGTTAAAGAAAATGTTTGATGCTATACAAATACAAGCCATGTTGGGTAGGCTTTTGTTGTTTCAGCAATAACAACCAAAATTTAATAGAAGCAAAAGAAATGATGGATAATTAAAAGGGTTGACGCTACGATCATTTTCACTGGTATTACCAACGTCACAGGTGTCGCTGAAAAAACATAGTCCACTTTTGATAATTACGATGGTAGTTGTGTAGAATTTTGTTACTCTAAACAAACATGAGAGGTGATGAATGAAATAGTGTTATTTGAGGGAATTCATTAATACACTGATATTATAACGCATGGAATTTTATTCGAATTCCTTACAACAACAAAAAAATAGATTACATTTACTGTGGCAAGATTTTATTTTTTGGTGTTTTACTATGACAAAACTTGTCTAGACACTAACCTAAACTGTGGCAACTAAAACCGTTTCTTTATTTTAAATAACAATTTGGTTCTAGTTAAAAAGTGGCTTATTTATATACCAAAAATCTACTAAACAAAACTGAAAATAGAAATGAACTTCTATACACACCTTTATTACGAAACAAAAAGAGTACAAAACGGAAACAGTAATGTGAAACAAACTACATTTCTATTATTAGTCAGTTGCCATATCTCTTTATAACCAAAATGGGGAAGGTGTTTTACAAACAAACAAAAACAAATAAAGAGATTAAACATATGTGAATACATGAACCCTTCGTTTCAGTTGTTTTTCCTCTATTTATTACACCAACCAACTAACAAAAACATATGAATGATGAAAACCGTTTCCAAAAAAAATCTGTACTAATAAAACCCAGAAGTTGCAAAAATTGAGATACCAAAACACAAATAAAAAATAAGAAGTAGTAACTCAAAAAGCCATAAAAAGAATGAATCCTAAAACCCTAGTTACAAATTTTCTCATCATCCTCCTTGTACAAATCTCAAACTTATCATTAGTTGTAAACTCTTTACAAGCATACCACAAGAAAAATGAAAGACGAGAGTTTAGTGTAAAGCCAAACGCTATTGTACGAATCGTCATCTCCAATGATCTGTTTGGTGTGGAAAATAATGGAAACGCAGGTTTTGTATGCACAAACGGTAATAAAGTATGGAGGAAAAGCAAACCAGGAGATCGGTTTGTTGTGTACCAATTCAAGTACGATGGTAAGAGGAGACAAGGTTTCACGCATTGTCATCTCCGATCTAATTTCGGGTTTGTAAATTTTCCAGTTAATATTAATCCAGACACATCTGCTTATTGTTACCCTAGCTACATATGTGGTTACTCAGTTCAAAAAAATGGAGTTTTTTACAAGCCTGAGAAGAAGCTTTATCGATGGAAGAAGCAGAAGTGATGTTCATATTTACATGTTGATGATGGTGATGATGTTGTATGTGGGTGTTGAAAATGTAACTATTTTAAGAATTTATAATCATTTTGTTTTGTTTATTTGTAAAATAAAAATTACTTAGGAAAATACAAGTAAAGAACAATATTGAAAGAGATATTAATGGATGAACCATAAGTATAGCTAGGATTTTTTTCTATGTATAAGTTATAAAATTACAAAAAATACCTTTGTATTAATAGAAAATATTCTCTTTTTTTCTATATTCTCACGGTTTTCTTTAATTTTGTATGTTTACTAGCTTCTTTTTTTCTCCCAAGATGGTTAGAGGACTAATTCACCATTTTTCTAAAGAGAAAAAAATAATTTATATCTTCAATCTAATATAAATTATTGTAAACTAAGTATCAAAAAGATTGTTTTAACATATTTTGGAAAACTATGATTATATTAGTTATTAATAAAAGTTTGAAGTTTAAAAAAGTATTTTAAAATCTTAACCTATCATGTATTAATAACAATTATTATTGTATGAAGCCAGATAGCTAAGTCAACTGAAACATTATTGATAAACTAGAAGAGAACCCGCCATACGCCGGGATTATAGATTATTAATTTTTATTTTTGTATTATTTTTTATATTTTTTTATTCCATCCATTGTTTTTTGGAGTTAATTAAGTTATGTTTATGATGTTTTAAATTAAATTTAAATTTGATTTAAGTATGCTTATGATTTAATGTATGTAATATTTTAAATAGTTTAAATAGTTTATATAGGTTTTAATAGTTGCGACACATGTTAAACCCTAAACCCTATAATTTTTCTTCAGTTGGTTGACATTTTATTAACCTATTATTTTCATTCTTAGTTTCATTACTTGTTTTGTTTTCACTTGTGAATAAATTATATTTGTTAGTTCAAAGATGATGAGTAAATCACACGGAAAAAAAGAGAGTAGACAAAATTAAATTCTCAATTTTCTAATATTTTTAATTTTTTAATTTATAATATTTAAATTAAATTTGAATTTAGTTTATATTATTTTTAAGATTTAATATTTTAAGATAATGAAAATCATATTAAATGGTCGATTCATATAATATAAAAAATAGTTTGTATATGTATTAATAATGGAAATATATATTAATTTTTATTGATTCTAAGTTGTCAATCCCTAGAGAGTCTCCTCAAACTTTTATTTATTAATTTAGATATAAAAATATAAGTTTGTCATATCAACAAACTATATATTTTTTTAACATATCACATCATCTTCTTCCACCTAATAATTTTACATTCACTGAACCTTTTCACTCTACCCCATCATTTTTATATAATTTAACATCATACCTTATATTCTTACTTTCTTAATGTTTATGTTATTATGATTACATACTAATAAAAACAATAACGAGTTAAATTTTTTTAGATAACTTTTTATTTATTTTATATTCTTCATTTTTTTGAGTATCCTAATTCACATAATTAAGTATATTAGAGTTAGTTAGAAAAAGATAATTAGGTAAATTAATGGTATTGATAACTTAGGTTTTTAAGCCTTTGGAAGGGTTACCAATCCCTTGTCTTTGCAGTACAAAGGGTATCAATCCATGCTTGTGGGTTCCAGACACTAGTTTATGAGCAATGTATCTTAAGTCAAGCAAAGCAAATGATGTTCTTGGTTCTAAACCTGTGACAAGATAAGCAATGATCTAAAACAGAAATTAAACAAGATAAAGATGCAACTAAGTAAACAAAGCAAGCAAGATAAGCGGTTATGAAGATGATAGGATGATGCAAAGGCCTTAGACAGGATAATGAATTAGAGTGCTTTAACACTAAGCTAGCAAGCTAATGAACAAACAATCAAGCAAATCCATTTAACATAAACTCATTAAGCAAGATAATCCTCTTATGAAGGCATTAAACTTCTATGCTAATCCTCCTTCATACCAAATTCTCATTTGAGAAGCATGAATTAGCAAGCATTAAGAATCAGTTTAATAAGTCATTTAAGTGAACAAACTATCATTATCATGATGAAAGAGATTTAAACCTCTAACAAACTTGGTTTAGACATTTCAACAAACACTTTTGGTGCATGAAAGTGCCTTAGATCTAGACCACAAGTGATGTGCAAGGATCTAGCATAGAGAACAGTTTGTAAGAGAATGGATGATGCAAGATCTAGCCCCTAAACACGCCAATTTAGCATTTAAGCACCCTAATCTACCTATCTAAGACCTTATCAAGGAACTACTCACTAATCATGGGAAGCACACTTGATCTTTTGCAAGAAGTGATGCTAAACATGATTAGAAGCTTGATTTGATGAAAATAAATGATGAGAACAAGACTTTTAGATGCAAAACGAGATATCTCTTATAAAAGCAGCAAGTTTTACACAAAAGAGGCAAGTTCTCTCAAGGATAAAAGGATAAGATAAAAGATAAGTAGGGTTTTAGTCCCTAAAACTATTTATAGTGAAGCTAAGTGATGCGGGTCAGCCCGGAACAAACCGGGTACTGAACCGGTCTTCTGGGGCAGATGGGTGAGCTTCGCAGTGTGTGAAATTCCAAAGCCGAGGTGTTCATGTCGAGGGCCTCATGCAAACTTGTGTTGAAATGAAAAACTCATCAAGAACGTGCATGAGCTCTAGTCTTTAATTCATCTTCACGTGTGACCGTTAGAGAAATGTGTTCTTGATCTGGGCTTGTGGTTCGGTGGCCTCGGTATGGATACACCATGGAGTTAGGTAGAGGTCTGGTGCATTTCATTCTACAACCTTGCACCTCGGTATAGACAAGCCGTGGAGCTAGCTTGAGGTTTTGATCATATTGTTTCGGCAAGAAGTCACCTCGGTGTGTGCACACCAAGGGGACTTTGGTCGAAGGGGTCAGGAAGAGAGAGTCCAAGGTGCAATGTCGAGGGGTTGAAGCCGAGGTCCAGTTCCACACTTAGACAAATTTCAAACCAAATCGCATAGATGCTCAGCTTCAACACTTAGTCGTTTTCAGACTTGTTTCTTCAACATGCATGCCTTGGTGTTGAATGATCGAGGAATCAGCTCGAGGTTTAGACCAAAAAGCTTCAGAAACAGGCCTCAGTGTAAGACAATGTCGAGGGAACAACACCAAGGCTTGCAAAACAACTTACCACAGGCGCAATTCTCAAAAGCCTGTATCGACCCGCTTGTCTCCTGATCGCAATAACTTTCAGCTCATAACTCCAAATGACTTGAAACCGGATTCAAAAGAAAGATCAATCAGCCAGCTAAAACTTTAGTGAAGGACCCATTAGCATCCTGGGAGTGGAAGGTTTCCCGGACGGCCAATCTTTGCAATATATCGGAACGATCAGAAAGAAGCTCCTGGACCCGCGTTCACTCCGGAGACGGTATCTCTTAGGAAATAGCTCCAAATTGGGTGATCTTAGATTTTCTGGAGAGAAAAATCAAAGAAATTGAATCTTGATGAAGGCCCCAACAACTGAATCTGACTGGAAAGGCATCGTCTCTCGTAATCTCTAAAGCACATTGGATCGGCTTAAAACAGAAGCGAGACAGGTGTGTCTCCTGATCGCCTCAACTCTCTGTTCACTGGTCCGAATTCAGTAATTTCAACTGTTATGGAACCCTGACTCGATCCTCTCTAACTTTGATGAAGACTCAGACAACTGAATCGGATCGGAAGCTTCCCCGGACAGGCAATCTTTGCCGCGCATCGATAGAACAGGTTTTAGCTGAGAACTTCTGCACCGCGGTAAGAAAAATATCCGAGAATCACATCCCGCTATAAGATTTTTAGCCGATAAAAATCCATCCTGCTCGGCACAAAGTTTTAGCCGATAAATCTTCACCCGATACTGGTTTTGGCCGAGAGAAATCCACCCGACAGCATTTTTAGCCGAGATTCTTCTTCCTGCGGTACACGATCTTGCCGATAAACTCCTTTAGGCCATTTTCACCATTTCTGACCCTTTTCTTCACCGTTTCAACTCCTGATAACATCTATTCTGCTCCAAACAGCCTCAAAAGCACCTGATAAAGACTCCAAACCATGAAAGACTCATTTGGACCTAATGCAAACCCCTAAGTCCTAAAACAATGCCTAAAGACCTAAAATGCATGAAATAAGACATGATTTGGACCTAAACATGCAAGCTAAATGATGTAAATTATAAACATATCAACTCCCCCACACTTGTCCTTTGCTTGTCCTCAAGCAAAAATAACTAATGAGAGAGAGAGGTTGAATGCATTGGGAGTTCATATATCCTATAGGAAGAGAGAAGTAACTACAAAAAGATTCAGATTCCAAGTTGCCAATTCTACATGCAATGCAAGACTTTACTTTGATGCTTTAAAATTCAACAATGATCTCCACAAGTTTTTCTTATCCCTCAACTCTTTGACATTCATTAAGCTCTTTACCATGTGAATCAAGTGATGCAAGTTCAAGCAAGCAAAGTTTGGCTAAGGATGAGGCTATGAGACTCAAATGATCTCATTCAATGCACAAGCAGGTTCAATGCAATTGGGGATCTCTCAATGAACGATCAAACTTTGGCAGAAGGCTAAAGGTAAGGAGCAACCGATGCATACAAGAGCAAGACTCAACTCACTCCCCTTACCTAAGATGCCTCTAACTCACACTCTCACAATGAACCTCACAACTTTCTTCTCACTCATTTTCATCTCTCAAAAGGGTTTCTTTTTCACTTTAGACACACGGCTTGGGATCTTTATTTACACACAGATCTTTTCACACTTTGAATCATCTAACCTCTCACTTTCTTTTTAGACACATGAGCCTTTGACTTCTTTTCTTTTCTTTTGCACTTAGAGGTTATAAGCTTTTTTCCTTTAAAAAAAACGCTTAGAGCTTTTTTTTTTTCAAAACACAAGACCCAAAACCGGTTTCTTTTCTTTTGAAAACCCTTAGCTCTCATCACTCTCATTTTTACAACTCTTTCTCTTTTCTCTCTCAAAAATATTTTCTCTCAAAACTCTCACTCAAAGAGACCTCTCCCCCACACTTATTCACAGCCTAGACCTAACAGTTCCTTGATGATGGAACTAGACACTTTGAGACTTGCCTTTGTCGCTCTAAACCTAATACTTTCTGCTAAGTTTGATCCAAGGTGGCCTCTCAACACACACAAAACGCTTTTAGCTTGAAAGAGTGTTGGGTTCAGGGTGTGGAACTGATCCAAATGTGGAATCAGCTACTTGAGCTAGGGAAAAAGAGTGGTAAAAACGGGTTCTAGCTCAGATATGTATATGCGTATCCACAATGCTCACTCAAACAATGCATCACAAGATAATTAAAAGTCAGGTTCAATGGTTCTCACTTGCTAGAGCTGAGTTCAATTCAAACTTGTTTCACAGATCCAAATCTTTTCAAGTCTCGCAAACATTGAAGAATCAACAAACATGGAAGATCTAAATTCTCAAAGTTCTTTTCTCTCAAGGAAAAAATCTATCATAACTCTCATGAAATGATGCCACCTATATAATGCAGCTAGACTCAATCCTAAAAATATGAATGCAACTAGAATGAACATTTATTTTTGAGAAATTTTTTCTGATTTTTCGATTTTTTTTTTGGTTTTTATATGCACTTAGATGCAACTACATGAATGAATGAGACTCAAGACTCGAAATGTTAAATAAGATTAAAGAAAACATGATTAGCAAACATAAAACTCCTCCCCCACACTTAAATAACACAGTCCCTTGTGTTATAAAATCATAAGAAAGGAGTGCAAAGCAAAACAATCAAAATGCAAAATGAAAAAAAGTTCTATATCCATATATACAAAGGGTTTGGAGAAGTTACCTAGTCGCTGAGGTCAGACCCCACATAGTATGAGGGGTTAGACGTGGATCATGATGGAGATGGCTCCATTGGTGGGCTGCTTTCTGGTGAATCAGGGAGGAAGGCGGTTGCTGGATTGATCCAATCTTCTTTTCCCGGTGGGAACTCTGGTGCACATGCTGTGGAGCTTTCTCATATCTCCTCTCTTTGTACCGGTGCTGGGGAAGTGGCCGAGTCTTTGGCTGGTGAGTCAGGTGCTGTGAGCATCTTCACCTTCTTCTTTAAGTGCCTCACACACTTGACAAGCTTGTGTATCGTCTTATCTTTCCACTTACACCATTGCTGAAGCCCATTGAGTCTCGTGTAAAGCTTTCTAGTGTGATACTCTGGTGAACCCCACACATAATGGTCAAAATGATATTTGCCTGCACCCATTATTCTTTCTGAAACTCGGGGTTCATCATTCTCACAACCAGAAGCTTGCGGTTCATCATTAGGCATGCTTGACTCAGCTTTCTCTTCTTTCATTCCTTTGGGAAGTGGAGGGTCTCTTGATGGGTTATAGAGCTGGTATTTGAGCAAAATAAAAGAGACACTGTATCTCTCTTGAAGTGTGGTGATTGCTCTGTTGGGTAAGAGGACTTGTACTTCGTCTCTTTGAAGCAGCTTAAAGTTATAAGCCCATCTGTTCCCAACTTTTCCCTCAAAGAATCCATTCTTGCTTAAATAATCCTCATCAATGAGACTAGGCTTAGCTCTTGTTTCAGGAAATGCAAAACCTTTGGCTCTCAAGATCTTGGTCACAATCCTACCATTCTGCAGCCTTCGGATCCCTCATTATCTTCTGTCACACCACACATTGTGCCTGTAAACAAGCATATGAATAGTAAAGAATGCGCCTAAAGAAGGGACATGAATAGGTCCCTCAAACTCTTTCTTGTTCTTGGTGTGAGAGATGAACGGTTTCAAGCCAAGTCCCAAGAGTTCTATCTCGTTTAAGTGCATCACTCCAGGGTTGTAGGTGCTGAAGAACATACAAGTCAATGCCCTGTTGGCGTATCTGATGGCTGAATTCCTTATACAGCTGGTCTTGCTCTTTCCTACAACATAAGCACCGAACACAAATGTATCCCACAGAGCAGCAATCTCTTATTTAGGGTATACAAACTTCTCCATAGGGCTTTTCTGACAAAACCAAAGATCTCATCAATCTTCCTAAAGCTCACTTCATATGCAACCCCATTGATCTCAAACTCGATGTGACCAAAACCGTTCCCATGGAGTCTTTTTAAATCCCTCTTGGCATAGATGTAAACCTCCAAAGAAGCAAGGAACTGCTGAGTGATTCCCTCATAGGCCACATCTCACATCTCAAACAATGATGCTAAACCCATATTTTGAAAAATGAGCTTAACATCATCGAGGATCTCCAGCTTTCCCAACAGATCAACATCAGGGAACCGTCCTTGTGTCACTTGTCCCTTGTTGAACTGGTGCAAATATTCTCCAGCAGTGGGCAAATGGTCCTCTTCTTTCTCAGCTTTTGTTTCCTCCTTCTTTGCCTCTTGAGCACCGTTGGGAATTGGTTCAAGTGCAGCTTCTCTCTCAGCTTCGGTTTCTGTTCTCTCCTCATCAGGTGCCTCAGCTATCTGCTTCCCTTCCTTTTTCGGATCAGGCACCACCACAAGTGCAAGCTCGGTGTTCTTTGCTCTTTTCGCAGCTGGTTCCTCATCGACTTTCTTGGTGCCCTTTGAGGTTTTCTTGCTTGTTCCCTCTGATTTTTCTGAGGCCACAACTTTGCCCTTTTTATGTTTCTGCTGAATCTCCTTTTTCTGTGCCAGGGCAGCCGTTCTTTCTGTCATCTGCAAGACAGCTCTCAAACAGAGAATGAGCACCAAGTATCGAATCACCAAAATCATGTTCAAGAGAAATATCAAGAACAGAATTCTCTCAAAAACCAATGGCTCAATAATTTCTCAAGCTAAGAGTGATCAAGAAACGAGTTTTAACAATGCTAAACACAGAGTAAAGCAGTCAACTCAGCCAAGAAACAATTTCGTCATTAAAGCCGGTTTTAAGGTGCAATTTCTCAAGAATTTTAAAAACTCAAGAACAGGCGATTTTCAATGCAAGAATAGGTTTTTCATGTGTTGTGTATCCTGTTGGAATTTCTAAAATTGTTCCCAAGGCATCTAACAACCTAAAAGAATCGATTCCACACAGAGCAAACTCAATATCACCAAAAATGAGCATGGAAAAAGATGAGTTCTTTCAGATGAAATATCTTGAGAAACACAGGATCGAGCTAAGCGAGATGAGAATGCAGGATAGAAAACTTCTATATGAGCTCAATTCACTTGGAATCGCGCAAAATGAATGAGAAATGAGAGAGATATGCTCTTTCTAAATGCAGAGAAGGGAAAAGAGAGTAAACTTGGGTTTTTGGCTGAGTATGGAGTCTGGTATGGGGCTGGAGTCCTTTACAGCTGTCTTTTGGACTCATGTGTGAATGGTCCCCCCCTCCTCTCAAAGACTCCAAGCATTGACCGCACCCCCAAAACGTTGACCCGTGTTTTTAAAACTCGTTTTCCCGCGCCAGGAGCTTAAAGACCATGGTATGGATAAGGCGAGGGCCGTACAGCCTTTTCTCGTTTTTCTGGGTTGAGCATCGACGGCCTCGGTGTGTTCCACCCCGAGGGCACCAAACTGAGGGCTTACAACTCGTGCTAACACAGAAAATCATCATGACCCTCAAGCCTTCTTCGTTAACCTTCAAACCTTCTCCATTGACTCAAGTGTCCAAAGTGTCCCATTTTGTTCATGGTCTTTACCGAGCACCTCAGTGTGCTCCACCACGAGGGCATCACACCGGGGAATTTTTTTCTAGGTAGAACAATTTGTTCTTGGGGGAATAAGCAGCACGGCCTCAGTGTAAACATGTTGTTGACTTAGAACGAGGCTTTGGACATTTCTTTTGGACTTTTGGCCTCGGTGTGTTTACACTAAGGGGTCTACACCGAGGGGCTTCCCCCACAATTGGTCTTTGGCACTCATCAACTTGAGACCTCGGTGTAACTAGGCCGCGGACTTTGAACGAGGTTTGGCCTGTTTACTTTCGGAAATCGACCTTGGTAAGTGTATACCGAGGTATGTACACCGAGGGTCTCTCCAGCACTTAGTCTCCTTGCTCATTTCTTCTTCTCTTCATACGGCCTCGGTATTCTTAGAGCGAGGAGTTTGGGCACACCGAATCTTGGGAAGATGATGCTTTTGAACAGCTTACACACCACCTTGGAATCATTTGTTGGACTCGCAATTGCCTCTACCCACTTAGAAACATAATCAACATCCACCAAGATGTATTGGTTACCATGTGAGGAGATGAAAGGCCCCATGAAATCTATGCCCCAACAATCAAAAACCTCAACTTCAAAGATCAGATTCTGAGGCATTTCATTTCTCTTTGAGATATTTCCATGTCTCTGACAAGAATCACATCTTGAGACCACTCCTTGGGCATCTTTGAACATTGTAGGCCACCAAAATCCTGATTGCAACACCTTAGCAACCGTCTTGAAAGCTCCCAAGTGTCCTCCGTAGGATGAACCGTGACACTCTTGTAAAACAGGCTAGACCTCTTCCTCAGCTAGGCACCTCCTATACAAGTGATCCTTGTTGAGCACATACAGGTATGGCTCATCCCACCGGTATCTCCTCACATCTTTGAAAATTTTCTTCCTTTGATAAGCATCCATTTCTGGTGGCTCTGTACCGCAAGAGATATAGTTAACTAAGTTGGCAAACCATGGTAAGCTTCTATCTCTTATGGTATCCGCTTGTTCAACCTCCAAGTAAGACTTGATCACCATTAGATGCTCCTCAGGTAATGAATCATCAAAAGGGATATCTGAATCCACTCTTAACCGTGAGAGATGATCAGCTGCTCCATTCTCAATGCCTTTCTTGTCTTAAACCTCCATATCAAACTCTTGTAAGAGCAGAGCCCACCTCAAGAGCCTCGACTTTGCATCCTTCTTTGTCATGAGATATCTAAGAGCCGCATGATCCGTATACACCACAACCTTTGAACCAACTAGATAGCTCCTGAACTTGTCAAATGCAAATACCATAGCCAGCATCTCTTTCTCAGTTGTAGCATATTTCTCCTGAGCTGAGTCCAAGGTTCTGCTTGCATAGTATATCACGTGCAGCTTCTTATCTTTCTTCTGACCCAAAACAGCTCCCACGGCATAATCCGAAGCATCGGTCATCACTTCAAAGGGCAGATAATCTGGAGTCTAGACTATTGGTGCACTAACAAGAGCTTGTTTGATCTTGAGAAAGGCCTCCATGCACTCCTCATCAAATACAAACTCAACTTCCTTGCAAAGCAATCTGTTAGCGGCCTAGCTATCTTAGAAAAGTCTTTGATAAACCTTCTATAGAAACCAACGTGTCCTAAGAAGCTTCTGGTCCCCTTGACCGAGCTTGGAGCTTCCAAGTTAACCATCATCTCCACTTTGGCTTTATCAACCTCAATCCATGCCTCAGAAACCTTATGCCTAAGCATAATGCCTTTTTGCACCATAAAATGGTATTTTTCCCAATTGAGAACCAAGCTGTGCTCCTCACACCTTCTTAAGACCTGAGAAAGATTAGAAAGAAAAACAGAGAAGGAGGATCCATAGACTGAAAATTCTTCCATGAATACCTCTACTTTCTCTCCAATCAGATCTGAAAAGATACTCATCATACAGCGTTGGAAAGTAGCAGGAGCATTGCACAGCCCAAATGGCATGCACCTATAAGCAAAGGTCTCGTAGGGACAGGTAAATGTGGTATTCTCTTGGTCTCTTGGATCTATTGGGATTTGGAAGAATCTAGAGTAACCGTCTAGAAAAAAAAAAAGAAGGGATGGTTTGCGAGCCTCTCTAACATTTGGTCAATAAAAGGGAGAGGAAAATGGTATTTCCTAGAGGCTGCATTCAACTTTCGATAGTCTATACACATTCTATGACCAGTGATGGTCCTAGTTGCTATCAACTCATCCCTTTCATTTTTGATTACTGTCATTCCTCCCTTTTTGGGCACCACATGAACTGGTGAAACCCATCTAGAGTCTGAGATAGGATAGATGATCCCAACCTCTAGGAGTTTAAGAATCTTTTTTTTTTCACTACTTCTTTCAAGTTGGGATTGAGCCTCCTTTGGTGCTCGATGGATGACATAGATTCCTCTTCAAGGTGAATCCTATGAGTGCATAGGTTGGGTGAGTTATCCTTTATAACCAATTGCTATCCTATGTTTCCTCAACTCATTTATCAATGCATGCTCTTGATCAGCTAACAACTTATCATTAATGATCACGTGGTATGAAGAGTTAGAGCCTAGAAAAGCATACTTCAGCCCTGTTGGTAGAGGCTTGAGCTCAATAGGGGGCGCCCTTGACTCGTCCAATCCGCATCAAAGCTGCTTTGCTCATTCGCAGCTCCATTGATGTTGATTTGCTCACTCGGCTCAGCCCTTGCCTCAGCTGATGAACACACGACCATGCATCCCTGAGCTGGTCCCTGACTTGTATTGGAACCCCTGATGTCCAAAATCTCAAGGCCGCTTGCTTTTAGCTCCAAAAACCTTGTTTCTGAATGAAGTTCCTTGGGCTGATCCAAATACCGCTTGTAGGCTTCATTCTCTTTAGCCAAATACCCGTGTTCTCCTTGTTCTTTTGTCAAGACAACTTGGAGAGGATCCTCTGTGTTTATCTCCTCAAGAAGCTCATCAGCAAGCTCCTCCATTGTTTCGATATAAAAGACTTGTCCACCTATGGTCGACTTCTTCATCATCTCTTTTACATTGAACTTCATGGTCTCTGATCCAATGTGCAGCACGATCATACCTCCTCTAACATCTATGATCACTCCTGCTGTGGCCAAGAAAGGCCTTCCCAAAATGATAGGATCCACAGGTTCCTCATCCATCTCCAAGACTATAAAGTCTGTTGGGATTTCAATCTCACCAATTTTAAGTGGCAAATCTTCAAGTAATCCAATTGGCAACCTTACTGACCTATCAGCGAATATTAGAGAGATCCTTACTGGCTTGTAGCTGTTGTACCCCAACCTTTTTGCAATAGAATAGGGCATCAAGCTTACTGAAGCTCCCAAATCACACTAACAGCTAGCAAACTTCAAAGGACCTAATGCGCAAGGTAAGGTAAAGCTCCCTGGATCTGATAGCTTTCTTGGGACTGTTCTCCTCTGAATAATGGCACTGCACTCATGACTCAGAATGACCATTCCTTGTAGTTCCTTGGTCTTGGTCAAGATTGCATCTTTTAAGAACTTCCCAAGCTGTGGAATCATAAGAAATGCTTCTATGATGGGCATAGTCATCTGAGTGTTCTCTAAGGGCTTCTCAAATACTGCTCTTGCCTTATCTAGGATCTGTTTCTTGAATCTCCCTGAAAAAGGAAGCTTAGGCTGATAAGGAGGTGGTGAAATATAAGGCTTCTCTGGTTCTGATTCCTTCTCCACCTCTTTAGCTTTTCCTTTCTTTGAAAAATCATCCTCTTGCTCATCCCTTGGGGCTGCCTCCCCACCAGCTTGCTCATTGTCCTCAATGAGCACTCTGCTTTGTTCTAGACCTGGTAGCTCTTTGCCACTTCTCAAGGTGATGGCATTAACATATTCCTCTGGATTTGGTTCTGGTTTTCCAGGTAGAACTCCTTGGCTTCTTGAAGTGGAAGCTTGATTCTGCTTAAGCTCCTGAATCTCTTTCTGCATGGATGCATACTTGGAACCTAGATCAGAAAACCCACTCTCAACCCTTTGCTTTCCTTGTAACAACTGCTGCAACACTCCACACAACTCTGACCCCATCTGTTGACCCTGAACCGGCGGCTGCTGACCCAACTGATGCTGAACCATCGGCGGCTGACTGAAACCTGGTGGGTACTTCGGTTGCTGAGGCTGACTAGTGTAGTTTCTCCCTTGAATCTGTTGCTGCGGCTGTCCATAGCTCTGTTGCTTCTGAACAAACTGTTGTTTAGGCTGAAATTTCCCTTGATAATTGCCTTTGGGAACATAACTTTGCTGACCCTGAGGATTCGGATACACTTGATCTTGAGGATTGGCCACATTGGGGTTCCTATATGAGAGGTTCTGATTTTAGTTGAAGTTGTTAAACCTCTGATATCGGTTCTGGTTAATTGATCTCTTCTTGAGTGAGGCCATCCTCATTTACATTCTCAAAGCTGGGACCTTGATCATTGAACTCGCCTACAAAGTGCAGTGGCTTTTGTATTGCCACTAAAACCTTGTCGAGCTGGGTCTGAAGCTCTCTGATATCCTTTTCCATCCTCAGCTCTTTGCTAGATCCCTCATTTCTATTCGCCCTGTCGAAATCTTCTCCATAAGTGTCATTAGACATAGCGAGGTTCTCCACTAATTCCAATGCGGCATTGATCTCCTTTCCAAGAAAGTTTTCATTGGAGGCAGTGTCTAGCTGGTTTCTTATCTTGGGCAGGGCTCCTCTGTACAAAGTACTCAATAGAGATGCCTCTGAGAAACCATGGTAAGGACACTGATTGGTGTAACTTCGAAACCATTCCCAAGCTTTTCCAAAGCTTTTGTTATTATGCGGTGTAAAGCTGGAGATTTGGTTCCTTAGCTTAGCGTTCTAGAGGTTGAGAAGAACTTGGAGAGGAAGGCAAGCTTGCACTGCTCCCAAGTTTGTATTGTTCCTCTAGGCAGGTTTTTCTCCCATTGATGCGCCTTGTCGCCTTAGCTGAAGGGAAACAATCTAAGTTTGAAACTGTCCTCAAAAACACCGTTGATCTTGGTTAGATCACACACTCGGTAAAACTGGTCTAAATGCTCCAAGGGGTCCTCCATTGGTAAGCCGTGGAACTTAGAGTTCTGCACCATGTTGAGCAAAGAAACTTTGACTTTGAAGTTGTTATTCTGAACCGGTGGAGCTTGAATCCCTGCTCAGTACTGGTGTGCATTTTCTCTATCGTTCTCACCAACAAAGACCTGTGGAGCTTGCCTTTGAGCTTGTGGCTGTGGCTGAGGAATGTGCTGAGCCTGTTGCTCATTGCGGTTAGCTTGTTGCTGATTCTGTTGTGCTTGGCGCTCATTCCTTTGCGCCATGTTCTGATTGACAAAAGCCTGTTGCTCGTTCCTCTCAGCCTGTGCCTGGTTTAAATGATCCCGATGCTCGGCTTCTTGAGCCTGTGGCTCAATCCTTGCTTGTTCATCCATACCCAACTGTTCCAAATGCGCAGCCCTCTCTCTAGCTCTTCTTTCAAGCAGGTTTATGTTGTTGTTGTAAGGAAGAGGAGGGTCTGAACTTCCGGAGCGTGTTCTCATACACCTGATCACTCAAAGACAAATCCCAAAGACTGATCAGTAAGACAAAATAAAAATTTGATCTCAAGAACAAGCAAAAACTAATGCTAAATCCCCACAAGTTGGCAACGGCGCCAATTGATAAATTAGGTTTTTAAGCCTTTGGAATGGTTACCAATCCCTTGTCTTTGCAGTACAAAGGGTATCAATCCATGCTTGTGGGTTCTAGACACTAGTTTATGAGCAATGTATCTTAAGTCAAGCAAAGCAAATGATGTTCTTGGTTCTAAACCTGTGACAAGATAAGCAATGATCTAAAACAGAAATTAAACAAGATAAAGATGCAACTAAGTAAACAAAGCAAGCAAGATAAGCGGTTATGAAGATGATAGGATGATGCAAAGGCCTTAGACAGGATAATGAATTAGGGTGCTTTAACACTAAGCTAGCAAGCTAATGAACAAACAATCAAGCAAATCCATTTAACATAAAATCATTAAGCAAGATAATCCTCTCATGAAGGCATTAAACTTCTATGCTAATCCTCCTTCATACCAAATTCTCATTTGAGAAGCATGAACTAGCAAGCATTAATAATCAGTTTAATAAGTCATTTAAGTGAACAAACTATCATTATCATGATGAAAGACACTTAAACCTCTAACAAACTTGGTTCAGACATTTCAACAAACACTTTTGGTGCATGAAAGTGCCTTAGATCTAGACCACAAGTGATGTGCAAGGATCTAGCATAGAGAACAGTTTGTTAGAGAATGGATGATGCAAGATCTAGCCCCTTAACTCGCTAATATAGCATTTCAGCACCCTAATCTACCTATCTAAGACCTTATAAAGGAACTACTCACTAATCATGGGAAGCACACTTGATCTTTTGCAAGAAGTGATGCTAAACATGATTAGAAGCTTGATTTGATCACTATAAAAAATGATTATTGTTACAATTACATATATATTTCGTCATAAATTTTCTATTGTGACGAAAATATTACAATTTTCAAAACAACATAATAAAATCGTCACAACCTAATATCCATTACAAAAACGTTACAATAGTTAGTGACGAATAAAAATGATAACAATTTGTAACATTTTGTGACGATCTTTAAACAGTTACAAAACCGACACGAATTATGACGAATACGAATGGTAACAATTCGTAACATTTTGTGACAATCTTTACAGTTACAAAAATGAAAAAATTCATGTCGAAAAATACTGTTACAATTACGCAACAAATTGTGACAAAAGATTATCACATATTTTTCACAAATTATTACTATATTTAAGTCACAAAATTATCATAAATTGTGACCAAAATAGTTTCTCAACATCCATTACAATTAGTGACTAAATTAAAGTCACAAAACAACACAATTTAGTGACTAATACTATCACAACTACGTCACAAATTATGACAAAAGATAATCACATAATTGTCACAAATTTTATTTGTATAATGACTTTTTTTATTTACAACGTGTTACAAATTTATAAAATATTTTTAATTTAATTATAGCTATATTTTCTTATATAATAAATAATATACAATAAACCATTAAAAGAAAGATATAATAAGCAATTGATAATATTAATTAACCACCAACATCCGAAGCAAAGTTACACAAACCAACATAAAGGAAATAGTCCTAATAAAAAAAGTTACACAAACAAACTTAAAAGAAATAGTCTTAATAGAATACTAAAAAAAAAATCCTAGAGATAAGTAGAAACAACTTGATAAAAAGCTAACTAAACAATACTAAAAAATTACTAGAAACATTAAGTGAACTTGCTTGGTGGTGGAAGTGGTGGAGTTAGATCTATTGATAACACCGTATTTTGACCACTTTTATGGATCTTGAAACACTTTTTCTATGTTTTTAATTGCTCTCAAGTAATTTTATCACGTTTTTTTAGTATTTGTAGTTCTAAAACTCTTTTCAGGAAACTTAGGGAAAAGCTTAACAAAATAGATAGAAGACCAGATTTTCAGCTCATAGTCAAACCATCAGAAGTTCACCCCCGATTGAAGGCCTTCTCACCGTCTGATCCAGCTCAAAGTTGGAGATCTCAAAGATGGAAGTATCAGCTTTCCAGCGCACTTTACAGCTTGGCAATCCAACGGTTCAATCAAAAGATACGCGAAGAACAAAATATCCCGTAAACCAGCCGGCAAGCATTTCCACCCGCAGCCAACAGCCATTTCACCACGGTCAGAGGCTTCCCGACCACGGCCAGCCATCCATTCCCCCTGATCACGCACATTCCGACCGCGGCCAGCCAACTCCGAGCCCAAAGGCCAATTTCTGAAGTACAAAATGATTCCCTCATTTGGAGAAACCCTAAGTGACGGCCAGAGATGTCTTGAGCACTATAAATACATGTCTTAGGAACCCTAATTCGTATTATCACCTTTTACACCATCTTTTTTTCTTATTGTTTTTATACTTTAGATTTAGGGAGGGAGAGATCTATCTCTTGAACCCTTGTTCTTTCTTTTTCAATTTCGATTTCTGTTCTACTTTTTAATACTATCACTACAAGAATATGCACTTTCAATAGCATAATACTATAGCGGTTTATTTATATCTGCTATGAATAATATAACCATGACTTTTACATAGCGTGAGTACTTTTGTAAACGCTATGGATAGTTTAGCGGGAATACAAATTGTAAAACGCACTTTATTTTTTGGGATTTTGATTTTATATCATGGCCTTTAATAACATAATAGGTTGAAAATGCTATGGCATTGTAAACCGCGAAGACCAAAAATTTATGCCCGCGCATTAAAAAAAAAATAACAAATTTTTGGCCCCAAATTTTATCCCATTCTGATTTTGTCTTAAGTCTTTCACACTCTCACAGTCAGAAGCTCTCTCTCACTCGATTTCTACGTCGCAGCTTCCTCTTCGTCTATCTCTCAAACGGTCTTATCAGCAACAATTAAACCCAGATTCACATTTTCGAGTGGGTGAAGAACGAATTCACTTACGGTAATTTCTCGTTTGATATTCGTCATCTGGGTTTAGGGTTATTTCAAGTTTTTTCCTAGATTCAGGATCTAGTAATCATTTGTTTGCAGACCGATTTCAGCGATTAGCTTCAGTTATAAGAATGTGATATTGTTATGGTGTTTGATTTGGATTTTGATTTGGGTTTATGAGTTTGTGGTAATCTTATATCAAGTAATAATTTTTATTCATAATTTTGCAGAGAGCTTTCAGTAGTGGCAGAGTTTAATCTTCATTCTGCTTCACAGCAGGTAACTTATTAGTTTTCTAGGATTGATTTCTTTTTTCTTTTGCATGTCGTATTCCATGAATTTCGCTTCGAGTTGCATCAGTAGTTCATATGTTGTTTCGTTAGTTTCTGTATTGTTTTCTTTATTATGATATTGAGTGGCATATGAAACTCTTATGTATGTATCGGGGAGCTGTGGTGTGATTGTGTAATGGACAAGTCTTGGGTTTGGCTACCAATGTATGTAAATGAAATTACGTGCATAGGTTTCTTTAGTTAAAAATTTTTTTTCCATGTAGAATTGAAATTGAAGTGTTTATTAAACTAGAGGGCTAGCCTTGAGTATCAGCAAGGTGCTAGTTCTTTTGTTATTGAATCAGCACAGCGTTTGGGTAATCCTCAAGAAATGTTCTGTCCCTGCATTGATTGCCGAAATTTATGCCATCAGTCTAGAGAAGTAGTATTGGATCATCTAGTTATTAGTAGAATGGATCAGAAATGCAAGAGGAAAACGAGTTGGAGTAAGCCTGGGGAGTTAAATAATGTCAAGACAGCTAATGAAGCCAGTCCTGAATTCGAGACTCAGAACTTGTTTAGAAGTGCTTTTTTAACGGTGAAGAAAGTCGACAATCAGGAAATAACAATGAAGACCAGACAGCGGAGGTTGACAGTAAGAAAGAATCTGAGTTCAGGAAGAAGTTAGATGATGCTGAAACTCCACTGTATTCAAGTTGTTCTAATTACACTAAAGTTTCTGCAATTATGGGACTTTACCGCATAAAAGTGAAGAGTGGGATGTCAGAGAATTACTTTGATCAGCTTCTGACTCTCGTCCATGATATGCTGCCTGGTGACAATGTTCTTCCAACATTGACAGATGACATGAAGAAATTCTTGAAGGTATTTGGTTTTGGGTATGATGTAATTCATGCGTGTAAGAATGATTGCATCCTCTATCGGAAGCAATATGAAGATAAGGTCAGTTGCCCAAGATGTAATGCCTCGAGATGGGAAAGGGATAAGCACACTGGCGAAGAAAAGAAGGGAATTCCAGCAAA